TTATACATCACAACTTTTCATCCCAGGCACTTCTGGAAGCACAGATTCCATCCATAAGAGGGGAATAACTGATTCCCGCACCGGTAAAATAAAACAGGCGAATAAACCTGCCGAATCATTTCGACTGCTCCCAATTCTAATCATGTACTACGTTTTGTAACTTCTAACTTGGCAGGTTTACTTTTGAGGAAAAAATGTAAATTCCGTCAGAGGCGCTTGATAGAGGCCCTGGTCCTTCTTACCTTCCTGGGGCGGAGGACAGTCGCCAAAGGTGGAAGGGAATACCGGCCCGGGGAGAAGAGGAAGCCAATGGCGGGAAGGTCGTGTAGTTTTACGCCCTCCCCTCAACCCTTCAACCTTCCTCCCCTTTCCCTTCCTGTGACCTTGTCAGGACTCCTTGGCTGGACCGCACGCCCTCCCAATCCCTCCTCACCTACCCCACTCTCAAAGAACTCCCGGACACGCTGGGGCCTACGGGCTCCGCGAAGTCGGCCCCAGCCCGGCGCCTCCCCAGATGCATCCCCGAGCCTTCCAGTTCAGCCGCGATTCGCTCGACAAGCCTTTTCGGCATCCCCTCATAGGCTCCGTACGCTCTCACCAGCCCTCCCCGGCACCACGAAATGAGGCCTGCGCCCGCCAACCAGACTTCGCCCCTTTCAGCCTAGGCATCAGCCCCCTCTCCCAGTCCCGCGACCGCCAACACTCCCAAGGTGCTCTCAACGCGGCCTCACTTCTCCCCACTCCACCGCCCGGAGTCACTCGACCCCCAAAGCCCGCCTGCATCACTTACAGACAACTTCAAGACGTTTCAGGTTCCTACCGGATTCTGACCCTACTCCCGCACCCGCCGTCCAGCCGGCTTCTCTTAGTCCCGCCTACGTCCGGGTTCAGCCAATTAGAAGCCAGCAACTGTCACGCGTGGGTCGGGGCGGGTGGATGGGTGCGTGCGTGCGTGTACGCGATGGGCGGGGCGATGGAGGGAGCCCCGGATTGGCTGGGGCGACGTGCGCGGGCGGTGACTTCTCGTCCCTGGCTCTTACGTACGGATTGCATCAGAGGTGGGAAGTCGGCCTCTTAGGTACGGGGGAGGACGTTCGAGTGTGCTTTTCGGCCTTTGGCCGGGCAGAACTTGACATTAGCTTCGCTGTTTTCCTCTTGGGAGGGGGCAGCAGCGAGCATCAGCGAACGCAGCGGGGCGGGACTGAGGCTGAGAGGCCTCAAACCGCGGCCGGTCCTTCAGAGGCTGCAGGTGAAGAGGGAGCAAGTTCCTGCCTTAGGGGCCGTCGGCGGCTTTAGGTCGCTGGATTCACACTCATGCCCTGGCAGTTATCGGCCGCGAATAGGCGCTATGGGCCTCTGAGCTTGGCGCTTACACTCTAGTCGGAGGCAGCCATTCATTACAAGCACGGGTGACTCCATACTCACCGGCGTGGTTTGCTTGAGGAAAGAAGTCACAGGCACCTTGTAACGGTGAACTTCCAGGGACAGAACCCCTAATTTGTCCGTAGATCACTCGGTAACTACCTGGCGAATTGGTGCAAAGCATCAAGCACTGCCATGAGAACTTTTCTAACTAAACTAGAATCTCTGGATATAACCATGAAACGAGGCAGACTGCCAAGTGCTCTGCCCTGCAGATAGAAGCTCAGTGTCATAGGCTCAGGATCTTGAAAATCTTTTGTCAAAAAAGTCTCATAATTCAGACACAGGTAGGAAACATTCCCTTGTGACTCAGCTGGTAAAGAATCCGTCCACAATGCGGGAGACCTGGGTTTGATCCCTGGGTTGGGAAGATCCTCTGGAGAAGGGAAAGGCTACCCCCTCTAGTATTCTAGCCTGGAGAATTCCATGGACTGTATAGTTCATGGGGTCGCAAAGAGTCGGACACGACTGATTAGCTTTCACTTCCGCTTCAGGAAACATTCATTATGAGTACGGTAAAAACTCCTTACCTTGGTCGTGTGGAGTGCTTTCAGCTCCTTGCAGGCACGTGTTTTGTCAGGTTCGTGGTGATATCTCCCTGAACACTATCTTTGAGCTCTGGAGGGCCTTGGTAATGTTAAAAGAGGCGACAATGGATACAAAGAGCTAGAAAGATAAGTTGGAAGATTAGAAGTTCATTTAGGATAATTAAAACAATAAAAGAGGGACTTCCCTGGTGGTCCAGTGGCTTAGAGTCTGTGCTCCCAAAGCAGGGGACCTGGGTTCAGTACCTGCTCAGGGAACTAGATCCCATATGCAGCATGAAAGGCCCAGTGCAGCCAAATAAATATTTAAGAAAATAAGAGAATCTGAGATTTGAATATGAAAGCCATATTCATAAGTAATGCAGAAGTCGTCAAGTCCGTTAATTCTGGAAATACAAAGGCTAACTGCAGCGATGACCATGGCCCATTCTTTGAGTCAAAATGGTGTTAAGTTTATTTACTAATTTCTAGAGAATGGGATTTGGGGTCAGGCAGACCAGTGCTAGTCCCAGCTTGGCCATATACTAACCATGATGACTTTGAACTTCACTTTCTCCCTTTGTAAAATGAGGATAACAGTAGTAGTGATTAATGAGGAAACAAATATAAAGTGTAAGCTATTACTTTAAAAATTCCTGTGGTATGCATTGTGCGGAAAGAGGCAGACTCTGCCCTATTTGTGTCAGAAATGATCTCTTCTGATTAGTATGTAGAAACCAAAATCTTGGTAAATGGTAATGATAACTACCAAAGATGCAGAAGATTTTTAAAAGATTATTCTGCTATACTTTATTCAGTATCATAAGAAAACAACAGTGACAACTGATTAAACTATTAAATTTTTTGTAGTACAGACATTATTATTATTAACGTACAACATGTATTATTTCATTCTCCTTACTCTGTCATTTCAAAGAATAATATAGAAGACAAAAAAATTTAGGTCCTCATGTATTAAATTAATCTACATGTAGTTGATAGAAAGGCAGCACAGGAAGTGTCTGCCAGTTTTGGCTCATTTCCCCTCTTAGAGAGTCTCTCTAACTTTTCAGGCTCCAAGTAGTTGTCCACATATGATCATATCCACTATAAAAGAAATGGGCTTCTAAACTCAGACGTCTATTTAGGTTATGGCTCAGCTTAGAGCTACATAATCCAGTTTTTGACATCCTTAAAAAATATTGTGTGATCTTTGTGGCATTTTGTCTCAAATCTTAAGACTTTTGAGAAAAATTGAGTATCTATGAGTGTTTTAAAAATAGAAATGAGAGTCAGGATCACCAGATACTGGACATGTACATTGTGCCTGGTACTGTACTGGACTCAGAAATTAGAGTCAGTTCCTTCTCTGAAGTAATTTATAATCTGATTAGGTCAAAGGAATAGGTGTAGAAAAACATCAAAAACAGTCTGTGAGAAGTGCTTTGGATGGAAATCCAGGTAGATATCATAGTGAGTGAGCTATTTCAAAGTAAGTTTCTTGGGACTGGGGCTTGAATGTGAGAAGTTTGAAGGATGACTAGTGTGTAAATAAGTTGGAAGAATATTCCAGAAAAGGAAACAGTGGGCGGAGGAATAGAGGTAGATGGTGGAATTGTAGCTCTTGTGTGAAGGACAATGGGTGGGGAAAAGGCAAACGTGTGACTAAAGCACAGTCAGAGAGTAATGGAAAGTAAGCTCAATGGGGATGACCTTTAATGCTAGTAAAAGAACTTGGACAGTACTGTGTTAGGTGGTCCTTGAAGGTTTTGGAGCTGGATGTTTATAAGAGCTGAATGCGTTTGAGTTATTTGAAGTTGAATGCATTAGAAAGGGACTATCAGCATTTCTCTGCCAGAAGTAATATTCCTTGTAATATTCTTTGTATTCTAGGTCTTAAGGATATGGAAGGCAGCTTCATGCAGTAGCCTCATTCCTCTACTACCTTGGCAAGGCCTGCTGCTTTAAAGCAGTAATAGTCCATACAGACCAGTGCTCAAGGAGCCTTGACCAGGGTCCAGGCCATCATAAAATTCTAGACTCTGTAAGATGGCTGTAACTGAACTTAATTATCTCTCTCATGTCCTCCCCGCTGCTCTGGATACCCCTTCCTCATATGCCTGTACTTTCTCTTAAATTCTCTGACTTGATTGGAAAACCTGCTTTCCACCCCATTAACCAACCATGAAACCTGGGTAAATCCCTGATGCTACTTCTGCTTTTGTGTACATGCAGCCAGTGACATGTGGACAGATAACTGAATGACAAGGGGCCAGCGCTCTAAAGAACTGTGGCAGAGATCAGACGTGTCTTCATCTCAGTAATGTGCTCTGACCAAACTGGCCAAAATTTGCCCAGTTTCTGTATACAGTGATGTCAAGAGGATTATTTACACAAGAAAGCACTTAAAACAGCTCAAATAAGGAAATACATATGCGTCCTTCTAGGTTTGATGCAAGACTTTTCACTGACGATATTTTCTAACAAAAAGCCATACGGTTGTCACTAAAAACTGGATCTTGGATTCACTGCAGCTCCTCAGAATTCCTTTTTGTTCTTCTTATTAGTTATTTGGGGTGCGTGGTGGGTAGGGAGAGGGGAAGGTGGGGTGGTGGGTATGTAACTTCTCTAGCTGAGCTGCAGGCCACCTGCCTCTTTCCCTTGTGTTGGAAATGGTTGGATTTGGAATTAGCAGCACAACCATTTTGTCTTAACATTTGATGTAATTTTATATCCCATATAATTTATTAAATATGTCTTTTGGTGGAGAGTGAGTAGACTAAATTTGGTGTCTTTAGCATTCAGTTTTAGGTAGTTTATATCTTGATTTTAAAAATTAGAAAATTTATAATCTTATATAAACTATGTAAGTGAAAAGTTTACTAATTTTTATTATTTGTATTTATACAGGTAATTTGACTAGATTACACAAAGAAAGAATGGACCACTGGAAGCAAAAAGCTTTCTGTTTACCACAGGTAAACAGCTCTTTCTGCTAGAAAGGATAAATGTGATTTTCTACCCGGGCTCCCCAGCTGGCTCCTGGTACTTGGTATGATGGAGAGTCCGTGGTTATGCATGAACGTTGGGTTGCAAGCATCCTGGCAGCAGAACCTCCATTACGTTTCCACTGACAGTACTTGGTGGTATCCCGCACATGGAAAGTGTTGGTTGAATGACTCAAGACTATTTCTCTGCAGAGGTGAGTACCGGAGTTTAGTAACTCTGGCTGCATTTCTGCTACTGGAGTGCGGTAGCCGGGCAGGGGCTGTGGGCTCCTGTGGCTTCTTATTTTCTTGATCACTACCCCAAAGACAGTCTCCCTTTCAGAACTCCCCTCTCCTCTCCCCAGCTGCCTTGGGTACTCTGCTTTCCCCCACTCTTTTTTTTGTGTGTCTCCCAATGGTGACTTAGGGCTAATTTTACAAGTCTGATAATTCTCTGAGAACGAGGTGCCTCTTCTGGAACGCACTGTCACACTCAGTGAAACTGCAAATAGGTTTTTATTGACTGATCTCCACTCTCTGAGTCATTTTGCTGTCACATTGATTGCAAGGAACCATCTGTTTGCCTTGATGACTTAATGAATTGAGGGCTCATGAATGTAGCTGACGTCTAAATTAGATCCGTATCTCATTAGAGACAGGATAGTGGTTTCCTTTGCCAGAGACAATGGACAGTTATTTTATAACTCTGAGAGAAAAATGGATTTTGCAAATAGACACTTCACCCAAATTGGTGGCCCTCATTACTCTCCCTATGCTGATGCTTTTGTTCAGGGACAGGGACATGCCTGTCCTGTTTCAGGAAAAACCAGAAAAGAAAAATTATCTGCCTGACCTAAGTTCAGTCATGAATCAGCAGACAAGTGCTAGCCGTCAAAGTCCTCCTGCTGTTTTGTTTTATGAGTGTCAGAAGGGTTTTCTGAGAGTGATGAGTATTAAAATAACTAGATAAAATGAGCTCATAACCTTGGTCTGTTGCCTAGTATAGTATGGCTGATTAGAAGGAAATTGCAAGCTGTGAGATGGCTAAATATTGTGTCCTGTGCAGATTGTGATTGCTTGTGAAATTAGGTAAGCTGTTGCTCAAGGGGAGTTCACCAACAGTTTAAAAAGACCTATGACCACTTCTGGCTAATTTGAACTTTCATATAGCTGGGATCTGGAATCATTGTGATCTCTGAGCTATTGCTTGCCTTGGGCTGGTAAGGGGACGAGGTGGGAGGTGGCGAGACAAAGGGCAATAGGGAATGATAGTTAATGGGTATCACCCAGATTGGACATGATGAAAATGGAATTGATCTGGAATTAAAGGTGATGGTTATACAACTTTGTGAATATATTAAAAACCACTGAATTGTACACCTTAAAATGGAGAATTTTATGGTATGTAATTGGAGAGGACTCCTGAGAGTCCCTTGGACTGCAAGGAGATCCAACCAGTCCATCCTAAAGGAGATAAGTCCTGGGTGTTCATTGGAAGGACTGATGCTGAAGCTGAAACTACAATACTTTGGCCACCTCATGCAAAGAGTTGACTCATTGGAAAAGACCCTGATCCTGGGAGGGATTGGGGGCAGGAGGGGAAGGGGATGAGAGAGGATGAGATGGCTGGATGGCATCACCGACTCGATGGGCATGAGTTTGAGTAAACTCCGGAGTTGTGATGGACAGGGAAGCCTGGCGTGCTGTGATTCATGGGGTCGCAAAGACTCCGACACGACTGAGCGACTGAACTGAACTGAACTGAATTTACCATACCATCTGTTTGTCTTGTTGACTTAATGAATTGAGGGCTCATAAATGTGAGAGAGTGTCCCTGGCCTCCCTCTTATCTGTAAGTATCTTACATTAGAAGTAAGCAGCACCAGGGACTTCCCTGGTGGTTCAATGGTTAAGACTTTGCCTTCCAATGCAGGGGCTGTGGGTTTGATCCCTGGTCAGGGGTGCTAGGATCCCACATGCCTTGTGGCCAAAAAGCCAAAACATAAAACAGATGCAATATTGTGACAAATTCAATAAAGACTTTTAAATGGTCCATATTAAAAAAAAAGAAGCAGGCAACACCACATGCAGCTACCCAGAAGCCTGCTGTACAACACCAGCACACGCTCAGCACCTCCCATTCTCTGGGCAGGATGCTTCATTCCTGATGTTTTCAAGTGTCTGATTGCTAAAACAGCTCGATCAAGTAAATATTGTCTTCATTTTACACATGAGAAAGCTGAGGTTCAGCATGGATAAGTAAGGTGCTTATGTTTCCATAGAAGCAGAGGCAGGATTTGAATCTAGTCTTGTTTAGCTCATACCCTTTCTGGAAGGTTCCATCGCCTGTCTGTGCTTTATTTTCCTTTTTGTGCCTGGTCTCTTTGTTACCTTCCATTTCCACTGTTAGAATCCTTATCAATCACAACTTTTGTTTTGAAATATACGTGTACTTATATCTTTGTATCTAGATATATATCTACATATATATCTATGAAATGTATGTGTTTGTGTAGTTATGTCTATATATGTATGTATATATTCACAAACACATGCACTTTCATATCTGTATGTCTATATTTATAGATATTTATATTCATGTTACCTATAAATATTTATAGACACAGATACAAATAAGATGAGGAAAACTATACCTCTTAAGTATTAATGATGGTTTTATCTGAGTAGTAGAATAATAATTTGCAATTTTCATTTTTCCTCTCTGTTTTTCTGTATTCTTCAAACTAAATTTATTTTATTATTGTGATCAGAAAATAATTTTTAAAGTCTTTCATATCCTTTCACCTTCGTTTGCCACTACTTTTGTGAATAAAATCTTTCCTGATCTTTAAACTGATGCTACCCTGTTTTGTTTTTCTTTTTTTTTTATCACACTGTGTGGCTTGCAGGATCTTAGTTCCCCAACCCAGGATTGATTCCATGCCATGGCAGTAAAAGCACTGAATCCTAAGCACTGAACCACCACGGAATTCCCTGACGCTACTCCTTTTTCTTTTGAAACACACTGCCGTTCCCTAGCACTTTGTATTTTCCTGAGTCATTTCTAACATTTTGCTTTGTATTCTGTGTAACCTGAGTTTCTTGGGGCCCCACTCAGAGAGGAAGAGTAAGGGAGGCACATCTAATAATAGAAAAGGTAGCAGAAGAGTTTTGCTCCAGTCTATCCCCATGAAGAAAGCTAGGATCTTCCTGATACATCTGTCGTATCCCACTCTTAAATCTCTTCTCATCCCTGTGATCATAGTTGTGTTGTGTCTCCTTTACGTTGCTGTTCTCATGAGTCAATTGTCATGCTCACTGTGGTGTTTATATGGGATTCTGTCCCATCTCCTATCACTTAGTGATAAGCTAGGCACCATTATTCCATCAGGCCCCACATGGTCCAGGTTGTGCCTCTGTTCTTCGTTGAAGCTGGGGAAGGGCATCTCTTCCCACCCAGGTTGTACTTTGTCTTTTCTTTATTAAATTTATTTATTTGGCTCTATTTCGTCTTAGTTGTGGCACGTGGTCTCAGTAATTGCAATGAGTGGATTCTCTAGTTGTGGTGCATGGGCTTAAGTTGCCCCGAGGCATATGGGATCTTAGTTCTCTAACCAGGGATTGAACCCAGGCTCCCTGCATTGGAGGTGAGGAGTCCTAGCCACTGGACTACCAGGGAAGTCTCCTTTTTTTTCTTTTTAATTTTAATATATTTCATTTTGGGTTTTTTTGGCCGTAATGAGAGGCGTGTGGGATCTTAGTTCCCTGATGAGGAGTCGAACCCACGCCTCTTGGGGAGTGGGAGCATGGAGTCTTAACTATGGGACTACCAGTGAAGTCCCTCTTTTTTCTTTTTTAACATAGGCATTTACAGCTATACATTTCCTTCTAAGCATTTCTTTTGCTATACCTGTAAATTTTGTATGTTTTGTTTTAGCTGTCTTTCATCTCAAAGTATTTTATAGTTTCCTTTGTTACTTCTTTGACTCATTGGTTACTTAGGAGTGTGTTGTTTAATTTCTGCATAATTGTGAATTCCCTAAATTCCCTAATGTTGTTGATTTAATTTAATTCAATTGTGGCTGAAGAGCATACTTTGTATGACTTGAGTTCTTTTAAATTTATTGAGATTTGTTTTATGGACTAACATGTGGTCTACCCTGGAGAATGCTCCATGTGCACCTGAAAAGAAAGTGTATCCTGGTGTATCGTGCTATCACTGACTGGGGTGTTCCATCCAAGTTTTTAGGTATTCACTTACCTGGTACACTGTTCATCCTTTGAGTCCCAGTTCATCCCCAGGTTCAGAGGATTTCATCTGTCAAATATTTCTTCATCCATCTCACAAGCAAGAATGTTCAGTTTTCTCATTTGAACTTCTGTCTCCCATAACTGTGATTTCTGGATATGCCAACACCCATAACTATGAGATAGCCTTCATTACAAGTCAGTCTTTCTACACACTGATGTTACGGGGTTTCTTTTGTGCAGGGACCAAGTCTTCACTGTATCTCCATATCCCTGAATATGGAGTATTCAGGAGTAACTTTAAAGCATGCCATTAAAAGGATGAGAGAATTTGGTGGGGGGTCATTGAATACCTTTTAAACAGTGAACCCTAGGCTATGTACTGTCAAGAGTGACAATGCACTCTGCCTCTGGGAACCGATAAAGGCACTATAAAGAAAGGCAGTGGACTCTGCCTCTGGGGACCTATAACTTAGTTGAAAAGACAGTATATGTGCACGAGACACCTTTAATCCAAGATCTGCTGAAGTGCCAATACAAGTGCTGTAGTAGTCGGACTTCTCCACTTTTTCTCTCTCTCTCTATGCATAGGAAAGAGACTCATTGAGTTATGAGGTTGGAATAACACTCAGGACTCCTGATTTCCAGCTGTGAATCAGTGTAGAATCCTCTGGCCACCGATCATCCAGCCTCCACGTGGATACTCTCACCCACAGAGAGAAAGCCCAACACTCCCCAGTCAGGACTTATGATGGTTGTTTGCTAATTTGGGGTGGTAAGGGGAAGCTGAATAGCTTTTTTGCTAACATACACTGTTTAGTCTTCCTCATAAAATAATCTATACACCTGAAAGAATATGCGTAAAGTCAACAAGGAAGGAAAAGTGTTCTAGGCATACGCTTTAATTTCACTAGGCTAGGTCACAGTATATTAGGTAAGGAAAGTCAGATCAGGTTGATTGTACAGG